AATTTATAAAGACATGTTTGATTTTATTTAGATGCACCATTTATATTAAATTCCTTTAATAAATTAGCAGTTATAGAAAATTCTAATATTACAACTGAATGTTTTGTTGATGCTTATCCAAAAGCTGATATAATATGGTTTGGACCATTTGGTCAAAGATTAAGTTCATTTACTAAAGAAAACATTTACAATAGTACTGTTATATCATCTGAATTGCATTGTAAGTTTATTCATTATGTTTTGTTTTTTTTTCTTTCAAATAAATTTAAACTTTTTTATTATATTAAAGTACCAACATCATATTCATTAGTCCTCGGTGTATATCGATGTGTAGCAAAAAATAATTATGGTCAACATGAATTTTCTATTCAATTTCAACGACCAGGTTTACCTGATCCACCAAATCAATTACAAACAATAAATATAACTCATACTTCATTTATACTTAAATGGCAAGCAGGTTATAATGGTGGTTCAGATCAAATATATCATATTATTCTTAATAATAATAATAATAATAATTATACTGAAGAAAAATCTACAAATTTAAATTTTATATATTTCAAAGATTTAAATGAAAAAACTCGATATATGATAAAAATTCGTTCAAAAAATGATTTTGGTTTTAGTGATTATTCAGCTAATTTATTTGTTATAACAAGAGAATCACCAGTTCGATTAGAAGAATTTCCTAAAATTCAACAAGCTTATTATACTACACATGATCTTCGTTTATATTTTCAATTAAGTCCTGTACGATCAATATTAATATCAATCGATCAATTATGTATACAATATTATAATAATGATGAAATATCGACATGTATACCATTGACATCAATTCAATCAATTCATGATGGAATTAAAATACATATTGAACAAACAAATTTACGTTTAAAATTATGTTTAATTAATCAAACAGATATTTGTTCAAAATCGATTCCAATTTTAGCACGTATTCAATTATTAAATCATTCATCGGAATTTATTTTTATGTTAATTGGTAAGAAGTTTTATTATAAAGGATTCTGCCGGATTTAATAATTGTCCTTAAATTGAGAAACTACCAATATTATTTTGTAAAGCAACTTACGACGCATCCTATGGTATGTAAGAAAAATCGCATTTTCATATACTGGTTGATGGATATTATTCAATATTGTAGAGATTGTGACACCAGCATATCCACAAATCAACCTATGCAAAATAATTTCTATAGAAACTTGACTACTATTGAATTTTGTATATTTGATAATTGTCCTCATTGCTTCCGTCGTGCCCGATACGGATCAATTTAGCCATTTTTAGGACACTTCAGTGTACATGATGTTGTAACTCAAAACATGATGATACCAACGTGCAACTCTCTCATAGATTGCACATCTTTCAGCTGTATAAAACTTGAATTTTACTGATTTCTTAATTGGAGAGCCCATAGCCAAGCTGCTATATCACTGCTCAAAAAAATGCCTATGCTTTGCTTGTTGACTACATAACGGTACCTCGGTTTTCCATTATTCGTCATTTCGCTGAGGGAAATATTTACCAAGCAAATATCATTCTAGGATCTCCTCGTGATTAATATCAACTAGTGTTTCGAAAAACGACAAAAAAATTTTCGGTCCTCAGATTCCTGGTGGTGGATACGGTACTTCGAAAAATATCATTGTTCGAAAAAGTTGTACTCTGGTATCATCACCATCATGTACACTAAAGTGTCCTAAAAGCGAAACTTCAGGGAAAATGACTAAAGTAATCTGTATTGAGTACGACCCAAGCAATAAGGTTAGTTATCAAATATATAAGATTCGACAACAATCAACACCATAATATTGTATAATATCCATCAACCAGTATATGAAAATGCGATTGTCTACATAACATTGGACGTGCCGCAAGCTGCTCTACAAAATAATCTATACATCTTTTTAATTTAAAGATAATAATCAAATCTAACAGAATTATTTTGAAATTATTTTCCTTTTTATAGGAGGAATATTAGGTTTTTGTGCTGTTTTCGGATTAATTATTTTATCTATTTGTGTTCATCAACGAAAATATAAAAAATCTAAAAATGGTTCAACAGATACATTAAAAACAAATTCAGATAATTTTCATTCCATAGTACCAGTTCGTGTTAGTGATACAAATCCATGTCTTTATTATCCTACGAAAGAAAATCGAACATTATATTTTAATGATGAAACAGTTGGTATTTATTCAATTCAAGGTATGTAATAAAAAAAAAACATTCAATCTTTTTTGTTTTTATAATACAATTATTTATTTTAGAAAAGAAAAATTCAATTTGTTTTGATTCTGGTATGCCATCAACAACATCAAATAATTCTGATTCAATTGGTTCACAAGCATTATCATCATCAGATTTTTATGATCGTTCGGATGGAGAATATCTTGTTAATGGAAGAAGATCAATAAATAAAATTCTTTTATCTAATCTATCAGCATATACAATAGGAACAGGAAAAGATAATCATATGAATATTTCAATTAATGGACGAATATCATCAGAAGAAGAAAGCGACGCTTCAACATTGAGTAAATCTCAAAATGGAAAAAAACTTGTATATGAAGTTGTTGTGTAAATTGTTTTTCTATATATTGTATTTCATCTATATATTTAAATTTTTCTTTTATGTACGTTTGTTTTGTGAAAAAAAATTCATTGTTATCAAACAAGTTGAAATGTGTTTTAAACTACTAAATGATATATCAGTTCCTATCTAAAATTGCGACCCAGGAAAGTCTATAGAAATATAGAGAAAAAGAAACATAACAAAAGTACATATTATTTCATACAACTTTAGATGAAATAAAAAAAAGTCGAAAAGGAAAATACTTAGGGGTACTCAAAAGTAGTAACGACAGTACCTTATTTTCGTATAGAAGGCTTGAGGAAATTTTCCTTTTTTATAAGATGATAGAGAAAAAGAAGCTCTATTTTTCTGTGCGGGTGTGGGTGTGAGTGGAGTGTGGTGTGGGTAAGGATCATCTCTTTATCTACAATCACACCCACACCCATATCCACTAATAGAAATGGATTTTTTACAGCAGAACTATGTTGTTGAGATATATGTTCCAGGGCATCAAGACGTTGTAGGGTGGTCAGAAGTGTGTTCGCCATAGGATGCATTTGGCTGAATCTGGACGTTGTGAGAGAAGAAAAAAGCATCAAAGAATGTGAATTGAATAAACAGATATCGATAAGAACTAAAGTGTGTCACGGCATATAGCATGTGTCTGTAACATCCGTAACAGAAGAATGTTTTTTCTCCGAACTTCTCAGTTATCTTCTTTTTCGTTTATAAATTTTCATAGAAGTATAAAATAGGAATTAAGATTTTATGTTCATGGATGAGATGATCTTTGAGTTATCAAGTGGACATATTCTTCACTCACTATAATATAATCTCATATAGGATAAAGACAAACATGAATAACAGATTGGTAAATGATTGAGATGTTTATATTCGTAGGAAGCATCATATGAGTTATATCCATAGAACATCTTCGTCATGAATTACAAAAAGATTTCATATTAACCTTCAGAAGACAATGGAATGTTGTTGTTCATTTATTGAATGACATACTCAGAAGGTGAGATGAGCCTTCCATCATTGATATAATACGTGTTAGTCATCCTCTACTAGGTATACACCAAGACCAAAACTAATTAGTTGATTTATAATTTCAAGTTTTTCTCAAAAATTCTTTTTTATGGGCACAATTAATTTTTCAATTATGATAAAGTTAAGTATTATGTCGTTAAAAAATAAGATAAATTATTCAATAATCTTTTAAACAAAATAGTATATGAAATTTTAAAAATTAACTGTTATTGATGTATAAAAATATGTTTTTAGCCTGAAATATGAATTAATCTTCAGAGTCAATTTCAAAAAATTTTTTATCTTTCACTTATTCAATTCAATTTTGGATCACAATTATAAGACTATTAAAATTTTGTTATTATTTAAATTCTATGAAAATCTCTATTTACAACTCAATCAAACTTACAATATATTAGAACCCCTCCTCTTTAAAGGTTTACCATTTTTTTTTTCGTTTTTTTTCACATTTATTTTTAAGTTTTGTTTTCGTTTTTATTTTAATTCTTAATTTTGTTTCTTTTTCGATTTTAATTTTAAATTTTGCTTATAATTCGTAATTCAGAGGCTTGATGTGTGTTTCAATATATTAATAAATAACACAAAACGCATTGGCGAAATTAACTCTGCATTTCTTTCATCATTTTAATTTAACTACATTTATTTATATTTATTCAATTTTAATTCGATTTTTGACAGGAAATCGATTGTTGCAAAACAAAAGCTGAGACTAGCAGATTGAACTAGTCTTTTCGTCAAGAGATAGATTAGTCTATTTTCAATCAATTTCTTTTTCTAAGAAGAATTTCGATGTAACGACTTAATAAAGAAACACATATAAATATAGAATTTGTGTTATAAATAAAAACTATGCAAAAAAAAAAAAAATGAAAAATTTTTTTTAATAAATAAACATATGATTCATCTATTTTAAACAACGGGAACGGAAGTAATATACAATACACAAGACTTGGATCGGATTTTGAATTATTTTCAAACATGAATCTGTTAAGTTAGGTATTGATGAATCTTTTTATATTGGAACGAGAAAAAAAATCTCTAAGGAGTTTGTACTGTTTCTATACATGGTTCTTATTTAGGCTTCAAGAGCAGATTTTAATAGGTTTCTTAGCATCGAATATAATAAGCACATTCGTACATTACTATTATAATTATATTTGAAATTTAACATAAAGAATTGTTCGAGTTCTTTATATAAACAATGCTCGTTGCGTTCTTTTTTATCTGGACAGAATAGCATATAAAATTTCTTGTTCGTTTCTTTGTACAATCTATATAGACTATTGTGAAAAAAATTAAACAATAAGTTGTTCTGCTTTTTTTGTTATTATATTTCGAACAAACAGACTTATGAATATTGAAATAAGCAACAGGTTTTTTTTTTCTTTTTCTTGTTCAATTTTGTCTTTTACTTAAGTAAATTTTATCTTAGCAATTGTGATCAATTTATTCCTCATCCGATTCTCGATGATTCAACAAAGACGATGCGAATTATTGGTAAAGCTATTCATTTATATTTCACATGTATAATATATATATATATATGTATACTATTCGTGTATTTTTTTTCTCTAGCTAATCCAGTTTATGACAAATTAACACTTTCACGTGCAGCTCAGATTCGAAAGCATCATTCAGACAAATATTGTTGTAAATCAGCACAATTGAATAGACCAAAAAATAACATGAGCGCTACACCGCTCAAATCATTGAACAGTGAAGAAGCTTTAGTAACGGTAAATTAAAAAAGAAAACAATACTTAGTAAAGCCTATATGTTCTTGAGAAAAGAATGAAGAAAGATAAAAATATTAGCTTGATTATTGACTTGGTATGATAAAAAACTATTAAAAAGAATTTCTTTTTCTTTGACTATAATAATTGTTCTGGTGTTGTTATTTCCTTATTTCGTAGTTACAAACAGAAAAAAAAACATTTGTTTGATATTAATTAATATTTTTAGATAGTATTTGATTATTAATTTCTTTTATTCGTCATAATACACAAAGCTCGCAGTCAAAGACAAGGTTATCTTGTAAAAATTAGAGTATTAAATAAGTTTTAAATATCTGTTTAAAATTTATTGTCGAATTTAAAACTACTTCGCTCTGAATCAATGTTTGAAAATATTAAAAATTGTGTCTATTTTGAATTTTAATTGAAACTTATTCAAATCAAGATATAGAATGCCTTTTAATATTTTAAATTTGTTTTACAAAATGTCTTATCTAGTATCAGTTTGTTTAAGTATATGCAATTGTACGTGAAAGTATATAAATTTAATTTTTTTGAGTTCTAATGAATTATAATACGTCACAAGAATATTGACTTAAAACTATTCACAAAAAAATCATTATGTAAAAATCTTAATCGTACTTTTACAGGCACAATTTTCTGCTTTTGAAAAGAGGTTTTCCTTACAGTTAATCACATATAAGTCAGACAAAAATTTTGAATGCATAATCGAAAACAATACACAATCTTGACTCTAATGAAATATTTATAAATTTTCATAAATAACTTTTATATTGTCAACAATTTTTTCTCAAGAATTTTACAATAGGAGTTAGATCCGATAATCACCCCAAATCGAAAAGGTACGCTCGTTTATTGTCTTCATATACAGTCACGGAGATATAAGATCGTTATACAGGATTATGTAATACGGTAGAATACATTCATATACGGACTCCGTATTCGTTGATCTGTGATTGTATTAAGTCATTACTAGTTTTTTCTATTTTAATGTAACTTTATTTAGTCATTACCAACGAAAGATAATTCGATACGATTGAAATCTACACCTGTACGTCAAACATCATCACGATTGTATCTTTCAACATCTCCATTAACTGGTGAAATATCTTCAATAAATAATGAGCCACCATCTACTCGTGTTCAAACTCATTCAATTCAATCATCAATAATAAAAGATGATAAACCATGTACAAATAATAATAATAATAATCATCATCACTTTATTCGTTATAAAAGTAGTTCTCTTGGTTTTGAAATACAACGTTATTCATCGAATAATTGGTTATGTGTTGATATGTTAAGTAAAGATGCATGTCAATCAAATGAAAGAACATTTCGTGAAATGACTGAAAAAAAAGAACGTGATGAAATTCTATCACATAGTATTTATACATCAGAATATTATTATAAACGTTGGTTTAATTTATTAAAATCATATAAACAAGGTCATTTAACACATAGACAATGGGCTAAACAAAATTATCAATTATATTGTTTAAAAACATATTATGAACAAGCATTTCAACGTGAACAATATCGTATTAATTTAAATGCACAAAATCAACGTCGAAGACGTGCACAAAATGCATTTAATGAATGGAAAGAAAGTAAAAATGAAGAAAATGTCGAACGTTATCGAAGTCATTTAAATACAGCTAATAGTCAAAATACAACAGAAATTATATCTGATATATCAAATCGTTCATCATCATTAAATAATCATACAACTAATCAAATGTCAATATCACCAAGTACGGACATTGAACTTGAAGAATTATCACATTATCGGCAAATAAATTCATCGAAATCGCCTACAAATACATTATATATGTTAGATAAACAAAGATGGTCTTTAGGTGCAATGCTTAAACGTATTGTTGGACTTGCTGAACCTCTACCACCACCACCAAAAATAATTAATCTTCATAGTTCACCATCGATAAATCAAAGTAGTGATAGTGGTTTTGAATCAGGTCTATAAAAATATTTCATATAAATGTTTTTTTTTGTTTTGTCAATGATTGACATTGTCATAAATATAAAAAAAAAAAGATAAAAAATTCAAATAGATATCGACCTTTTTAGACAAACAGAAGGTATTCCACCAGTAACATTATAGCTAATGTTCTGCTATGTGATATTATAATATCACATGATAGAATACTTTTCATGAAGAGGAACATCTGCTATAGGAATACCTAATCAAAATATCAAATGTTCAACAGAACTCAACACATAAGATATACTCATATTTACTATACTAATTTTATTATAATATTGATTGGAATTTGATGGTAGAGATCATCAAAAGTTTATTTGAATGTGAATCGTTATATGATTTCCTATTGTGCAACTCATGAGATCAAAGATTTAGCTCCATTCGATGATTTTTCAGCTCGGTCCTAATATTATCAATTACAATGATTCATAATTATATTTAACATAGAAGAGAATAATTTGTATAATAAAGAATGACAAAAAAAATACAAACGTTATCAGCATTATTTGTAAAGCCTTTTAATGCGCTGTGATCGTTGCAATCTTAAAGAAACATTATTTTAGTTACAAAGATTGACAGAAGATAAAAAAAACAAAATAACAAAAAAACAAAAAAAGAGAAAAAAGAAAGAACGAACAAAAATAGGTTAGAAAGTTTCTGATAACTCTGCAAAGCATCGAAAATCTCTTTCATTCAGTATTATCGTCGAATCTATCCTGCCATAAGATAACATCCAAGTTGTGGCTATATAAAACACATCAGTGTTGAGAATAAAATGTTTTGATCTGTGCAGACAACAAAATCGTGTTCTACCTTCCTGCCATAACGATTTGTAACTACTCAGCGGCATTTACTTTAATAAGAGATAACGATCGAGTGATTTTGCTAATACTTTGTAGTATTTCTCTTAGAAGGCATAGCATACATCATCAAGTGACAGTTCATCATAGGCAGAAACGAAGAAGAAATCCTGCTTGCAAAGGCAACGATATAAATGTTTTCACGAAGTATAGTAAACATTATGAAGCCTCAACGGTGCGTAATTAGTGAACAGAGAGTAAAGAACTAGTAACCAAAAAGTTATTAGCATTCATAACTTACGAACACGTTATACATACGTATATAATGAAAAACAAATCAAATTGTTTGTTTTTACTTCTTCACAAATTTCGTTTTTACGGCTTTGCTGCATTGAATTACTAGTTGTAAATCTTGATAATTAAGTACAAGTGCAACATGATGCGTAGTTGTGAATTGCATGTTGTTTATTTTTGTTCGCTTTTGTGAAACATGACCTAAAAGGAGTATTAAAATATATAGAGCAGAAATTTGCACCTTCTCTTCTCTCTCTACAGACCGTGACACATGGTCTCCAGAGCAGAGTTTGGACGATAGCATTTGCACTTGTACTTCGAGACAAATACTTTTATACTTATACTTAAGTACAAAAAAAGCCTGTACTTTTACTTGTAATACGAAACAATGTCTTTTTGCGTATTTGCATTATCATTCTGAATGCTTCACTATTGTTGTCAACGAAGGGGGTTGCAAATATTAAAGCTTATTCGATTATGTAGTTTAATCATTCACTAAATACATACATGAACTCAATCAAAATTACAATAAATTTCGGGCTTCTGCTTATTTTTGAAAAGCTAAGATTCTTTTACATAAAGCATTTTTTTATATTTTCGACGTATTGTATATGGTCAAAGACCATATATTACTAAGATTTCATTAGAATATATGAACTATTTTCTTATTGTAGTTCTAGAGGATTAAGTAAAAAATGATGAAGAAATGTATCCCAAAATAGCTAGAATAATATAATCTTCTTGTGACTAGGAAGAGCAGCAACGTTGTGTTTTACATTTCAATCTCTCAGAAACTGCACTAACAGCTTTCAAATCGCATAAAATTCTCAGGATATGTTTGAGGTATAGTAGAGAGACTATGGTAAAGTTTTCAGTTCTATACTATGACGTTTTCGGGGGATATTCAACAAACAAGGATCAAGATTTCATTCTATATGCTTAATTGTATTTTTCGTTTCAAAGAGCATGTCAGGATGCAGGACATAGCAGAGCTCTTGTTTTTATTGAATTCTTACCTTTTAAGGGAAGAAAATACATGACAAGCTCAATGTCTCAAAAGATGGCCTTCGAATTATAAAAGTACTCTTTTATATGATAGGAACAAAGTTTAATTCAAAAAATTAACTCTATCATGTCCTGCATCTTGACATGGTCTTTCAAAAAAAAACATAAACAGAGAAAAAACGAAAAAGATTTTTTTCTCTTTCCGAAAACGGCATATTTTTCAGGGTGGCAATGACACAAATCATAAAAAATTTTGGCAAAAAAAAGAGGTACCGAATATAAAAAGGCATGTTACTTATGAAAGATCAAATTCCGGGCTATGCTCTCGTGTATTTACCTTGATTTCAACGAGAATCAACTTTTCTTGAGGGATGTCGGCATTCAGTATAGCCATTGTCGTTTATCAATTCTTGTCTTTTTCATCTATCTTACATCTTCTTTTATTTGATCTCATGCATCTAATAGATAAAACGTAAATGACGTAAACATGAAGAAGAGTTTATTAGAATCCTTTACATACTATTCATTATTTATCAATAAGATTTGTTCTTCTAGTGAGTTTCTATTTCATTGACTGTTGCTTATTTTGTAACCTATTCATATTGTTCTTTATTCATTGATAGTTAGTTTTTTAATTCAGTGTATTGATACCAATATAAAGTCAAGATTGATTAGCTTTATGATTATTTTATACAAGCGTATATCATCTGTTGATTGTAGAATAATGATATCTATCCAAATTGACAGGCAGGCTCATCATTTCTTTTCTTTTCACAGGACACTTACTAACAATGCTAGTAGATGATCATGGTCGCTTTTTTAATTTGTTGATTTTAATAAGAATGATATGATACGCTTCACAATCACTTTTGTCTATATCTACGACAATTATTAACAATGAGAGGACAAGGATGCATATATATTTAGTGTCCATGGTTCAATATGCATAACGAAGAAAAAAGAAAAAAAAAAGGCAAAAAGTAATTATGGATTTCATTATTAACTAACTTTTATTGATGACTAAAAAGCTATTAGATTTACTATAGTCAAAAAAGTCAGTGATGTAATTGGAGATTATATTTATTTATCATTCTTGACATATTTAAATAAAAGTAGAAGAAAAATGACGAGAAGAGCAAATCATAGAAAAAAATGGTGATGTGATTGATGATTTAATTTATTTTATATTCTAAAACAATTGCACATATTCTCAGGTGCAACTATCAATGTCGTACTAAATTGTCTCTTTGTTTTATGATAAATCTTTTCTATTGTCTTTTGTTAAATTATCATTAATGTAGTAATTAATTCCTTTTGTATTATAATATGGTCTATGGATTTTTTCTTGTCCCATTCTTTTTTCTTTGTTATGAAGTATATAAAAAGAAGTATCTATAATAGATGTTCATTAGTAGATTTAAAAAAATGAACACGATATTAGGGTAAGAAAATGTAAAGTTTGTTTAAACTTCGGACTTTTTTTTTAATGCATTAATTTTATATAAGTTAATCAAATAAGTAAAAAAAATGATGTATTAAATTTAATGAAACATATTTTAAAAATATCATGTTTCCTTTTTTCATTTAAGATTTATTTTAAATGAGAACATCAAAATTAAAACGTACGATTTATTACGATAAATCGCCACGTTTTCATATTATTTCTTTATATGTACTTATTATTACTTTGATAATACTATTTGGAATTTGTTTTATTTATATTTTTCGTACTATTCGAATTCATATTGATGAATTAAAATTTATTAAACAACAATTAAATGAATTAGAATCCAAACAAATAACAATAATAACATCATCTAAAAATAGATTTGATTCATTACAACGACGATTAAGACATGCACATATTAAATCGAATTTATTAGATAAAGACGAATTAGATTTATTTTCAGGTTCAATTCATTTTAAAATGCCGGTAAGATCGAAAAAAAGATTAAAAAATTTCTTATAAAAAGAAAACGATTGTTTACTTCATAATAGGCGATAGCAATGGCAACATTTTGTTCCAAATCAGTAGATCATTGCAAAAAATTAGTTACGGAAAATGAAGGTAAATTAAATGAAGTATTTTATTCGTTATATATATGCATTATACAATCACTCCGAAAAGTATTCGAATTAGCGATGTACGCGAATAAAAAATAAAACTATAACGAGATCGGAATTACGAAAAAAAAAATTTGCCTGGATCGAAACTCAGGTGTATGGTATAATATTCTATGATTTATAGCAAAAATTCTGGTTTAGTTTTCTCTAGACCGAAGCCCGGAAAGCTGAACCATCGGCACTGGGACCCAAAAAACTAAAATTATCAGGTTCGGGACTACTAGAAAAGAAGTTACCAGGACAAAAGAATTTAGTCCCGCACATCTCTAATCCAGATACTTGCAAGATTTTTCGTGTTTTTTTCATTTGCGAAGCGAAAACAAGAGATAAAATGTTTCTTCTTTTACTAGTAGATAGTCTTTACTCTGTATGCTAGCTTCCCTTTCAATATTATCGAATTGGACCATCATCTCGATTCACGGAAATTGTTCTCATGAGAATGTCTCATTTTTCAGTACGTTCAGAGCAAGGTTCTTCTGTTCTACAAGCCGTTTTTCTGACACTGAAATTATTTTATATACATAATCCTAGAACAACAGCAGTAAAAACTTATTAAACTACGTGGTTTTTTACAGAATTTTATGAGCTTTCTAATGGTATTAATTTTGGAAAAAAATTGATGATGACTTTTCATCCCTATCGTAGTATTCAGCTTGTTCAAGGGGACAATTTTTTTTTTTGAATAGTTCACATCATGGAAGTTATCCTGAACAGATAGAGCTTGCTTTGTTCGTTCTAGGGTTGTGCATATGGAATGATTTTGATGTTGGAATAATTCGAGATGATGGTCAAATTCAATAATATTGATAGGAACTTAGTATAGAGTAAGGGCCATCAATTGATTAAAAAAAGAGAAAAATTTTATCTCGTATTTCTGCTTCGTAAATAAAAACAAGTACGAAACATCTTGAAGATGTCCGGGTACTTTTTTCGAGTGATTGTATATCTATGTTCTTAGAACTACGAGGTCCAAAAGGTGATCGAGGTGAACGTGGTTATCCGGGAATACCTGGTATTTCTGGTCAAATGGGACCACAAGGTAAGATCATCTTTATAAAATGTATACATATGTTTCATTATCTATTTATATATATCAAAGGACCACCTGGTATTATGGGTCCTCCTGGAGTAATTGGCCCTCAAGGACCTAAAGGCGATCCCGGTATACCAATTCGAGGTATACAACATAAATAATTGACTTAAATGATAAAGATTTATATTCAATACTCGTTTTTAAAAGGTCCTCCAGGTCCAATAGGACCTCCTGGTTATCCAGGTCCACGTGGTGAAATGGGTCTTCCAGGTCCATCTGTATGTCTATTAGTTTAAAATAATTTTATTTAATATAAATCTTAAAATCATTAGGGAGTTTGTACCTGTCCATCACAATCATCAACTTCAATATCAATGCCATCAAAATTCTATCGAAAACAAAGTTTATATTTTATTCATTAAATATCTTTTTATAATATAAAATATTTCTTTTTTTTTTCTTCAAATTTTAGATTCATCTAGACATCATGGTAAGTGATTTAAAGTTTAAAGTTCTTATGCTTTTTTATTTTTATTTCCATGGTTTCATTAAAATCAAATAGGCAGTCTTCGTCGTGCACAACGTAAGTGATAAATAATCTTGTTATATATAAAACTTATCGAATGAATTTGTCTTGTTTAGGATGTATATTTTCATTTATTGGTACACCTGTTCTTGTTAAAAAAGAGAATTATACATTTGGTGCTTGGTTTAAAGATCCAATGCCTAAAACTGCTAATGGTGCACAAAAAATTTATGTTACACATCATGTTACTGGTACATTATTACATGAATATAATAATGAAGATGATTTAATTAATAATAGACCAAATCGTATAATAACATTACCATATCCATATTCAGGTGTTAATCATGTTGTTTATCAAGGAAGTTTTATATATAATATTGAAAATAAAAATATTATCGTACGTATTGATCTTATATCAGAAACTGAAATTCAAAGTGTTGAATTTCCTGTTAACCGTGAACCACTTTATAATACACCACAATCAAGTTGGTTTGATTTTTCCATAGATGAAAATGGTTTATGGTTATTATATCGTGAAAAAAATACCAAACATTTTATTGCAACTAAAGTAAATCCTGAAACATTAGATATTCAAAAAACATGGATATTACCATATAATCCATCAAGTTTAAGTCAAGCTTTTATTGCATATGGAATATTTTATGGTATACAATATTATAATAAACAACAATCTTATATTGATATTGTTTATGATATTTATTCAAATATAGCATTTACAACAAAAAGAATTTATTTTACTATACCATTTCAATATTTAGTACAATTTACTTATAATCCATATGAAAGTAAAATATTTGCATGGGATAATAAACATTTAATTTATTATGTTTATAATATTCAACGTGATAAAACATCTAAATGTTACAGATAATAATTAATATTGATATCTGACAATGTAAGGAAACAATATATGAAAATTTGATTTTCTTTTTTTCTTAGGTGTATTTCTTATGAAAAGCTCTTTTTTTTTCATATGTAAATAAAAAAAAATTGTGTATCAGCGTGTATTTTTGTTTATCATTGTCGTCATGCATGAATGTGAGAAGCAATATGAATATATATATGTGTGTGTGCGTGTATGAACTTGAATATGTGATAGAAAAACCTTCAATATATTATAACTGGTTGTAGCCTTTCTTTGAAGGTCTCTTTTTAACATGGCAATGAATAATTAATAGATGATGTAAAATAATTATCATGTTTATCAATCGATAGCAAGATACTCGTATGATTAAGAAAAGAATCTTGATCGAATAGATATTGAAGAAAAAAGAAAAAGAAGAAATTTTTTAAGAATGAGATTAAACATTATATGGATTATTTTCTAACTTTATTCGACAAATATTTATTGCTTGTCTCTTCATTTGTTTGTGTATGTAGAAAAATAGTAAGTCAATGAGACATAATGAAGACAACTTTTCTTTCTTTGTTCTATGCATCTGATTATTATTGTTTTTCTTCTATTGTACCATTATGTGCACATGAAAGTAATGAATATATAAGAAGAATATTTTTCTTCATTACTCAACTTTATTATTCTTTAAGTTAGATTGCATACATGTGATTACAAGTAAATATAAGAGAGTAATATATATATATATATATATTGGTGCTTTTTTGTTTTGATACATGTACTTCAATATGAAGGTTGATATACGAAGGTCTTATTTTCTTCATTTTATAAACTAGTATTGCTTTCTTCATTGATTTCATTAGTTAATATACACAACATCAATATGTTCGGCTGTGGATTTTCTTCAATATCAACACCATTATGTTCACAATCGATGATGTGTTCATACAATATGCCTGTAACGGTACCGACACCAGTATATGTACCAGTACCAATAAATCGTCCATGTGCAGTACCTGTTCCTGTTCCTGTACCTGTTCCTGTAGCAACATCTATGCCAATATGTCAAAAATATCAATGTCAGCCAACTGAAGTATGTTATCAAGGAATTTTATATATAAAAACAATGTGAAATGCATAAAACATTTCAAAACATGATTTTTATCATTTTTTTTGTTTTGTCAAGGTATGTTATAAAAGTCCATCTTGTTGTCGAGTAGAATATGTTATTGAAGAACCTATATGTATAAAACGTCGTCGTCGACGACGACGTCGATCTCGATCATATTCTCGTAGTCGAGCTCCTTTACCACCTATTATTATTCCAATACCAATGCAAGCACCAGCAGTTGCACCACAACAGCAACCACCACAGCAACCACCACTTCAAGTTATCCAATATGTTCAAGATATTTATCTACCTCCACAAGTTTTTACTGAACAAGTACCTATAGTATGTTTATTAATCATAGAAATTTTAAATATCAAAGTTCGTTATCTCATATGCATTTAAGGGTTATACAACTAAAAATACAACAATTCAACAACCGGGTCTTATTCAAAATCAAGGAACATTAATCAATTGTCAACCGGGCATTATTTTACCTTCAGCATCATCGTCACAAGCACAACCATATATTGTACAAAAATTACCTAGTGGTCAATTAGTTCAACGACAACTTAGTGTTGGTGGTGGTAGTGGCGTTCAAACAGTATTTTTATAAAAATTTAATGTATGTCCGTCCAATTCAGGTACTCTGATAAATACTTCTCGATTTAGTATACAATTCATTTCATAAATTTTGTTTAGTTTTATTTTTCTTTTTGATTATTAAAAAAGATATGAAAGAAAAATACAATATGAATTTAATATGGCATTTTAGGTAAATGAAAACGTGGAATGACTTCAGGATACGCTTTAGCATTGAATGTAGGCACTAAACAAAAGAATTAAATAAAGTCAAAAAAAAAATAATAGTCTTACAGATTCCATTCGGTGGATTTTGATCAGGTGTATAAGCATGACGACCATGGCGATTTTCTTCAATATGTTTCAAATGTTCTATACTTTTTACATTTGGATTTTGATATTCACGTTGAGTTTCTGTATCTGTAACGTAATTAGGTGGTTTTTCATCGCCCGTAACTAAAACGATTTAGTTCGTGAAAATTTTTTCTCATACACGCATATTTCCTGTTTACTCTGATAGAAAAGGTTTTAGTTACCTAATTTATGAAGAATTGCTGCTTCTTCTCGTAATATACTAGATGTCCAATTTTGTTGTACTAAAAAAAGTGAATTATGTAAATTTAGGCTATCAGTAAAATAATCTTCATACATAAAAAATGATTGAATTCGGCTGGTTGTTCATAAGCATAATGTTCCATATTTGGATGATCAAGACTGCTCATGTTTAGTATTAGCTTTCGTGTCACTGACGAATATGTCTATATTCTATCAAAACTGAACTGTTTTCTTTTTATTCTTTGATTGATGTATGTAGAAACAAACTAAATAATTCCATTAAAACATTATGATTCCCTTTTTTTTTTGCGTTCTGTGTAACTCTGTTTTTTTGTTATTCCGAAATTAAATTTTTTTTGTTTTGTCGAAAGAAAAACTTGTAAAGTTGATTGATCAAGTCAATTTTTTTTTCATATACATTTTGACACTTCAAGTACGTTTTGGAATTCTAGGACTAACTTAATAACATCATTTGGACATGTTTAAGCATGATTGAATGATATAAACTATATGTTGAATAAAACTCATATTACTTAGTTTTTGTTACTATCGATAAATCACTATGATTTAATTCAGTATTATTCTATCAAATAAAATCGAATAATTGTAGTCGAAAAATGGTTTTTGTTTTTTAATTCAATGAATGCTAATAATAACTTGAAAGATACTTTTACGAAGTGCTCGAGAGAAGCAAAATTGAAATTTCCGATCGATTATTTGCACATTTTTTCTTCACAAAACAAACAAAGTAAAAATAGCTAAATTGCAGAGTAGCAATTCACTATACTATTCATTTGATTATATTTACAACTTGATAAGCAGTCTAATAAAAAATATAAAATTGCTTACGATTCACATTTATTATACATCATAGAAATATCTCGTAGTAATTAGAATTTTTCTATTGATGAAAAAAGTGCCCATCTGGTTACTGTTAACCTTCGCACCTGCGTGTTGGCAGCTATTCTCTTTTTTTTCTTTGCTCTATATAGATTATCAACATGGATGCCATGTAATGACGTTAAACTAAACGAATAGAAGAAAAGAAAAGGTCAAAGAAAAAGGAAGAGGAAACAACAGAAAGTATCGAATGGGAACGTTTTCTTCATCGCATGTGTGCAATACATTGCCTTATGACAGCAGTACGACTTATGCCGTCTGTCTGTTTTCTCTCTTCTTTAGTGAACATGTGTTGCAAGCAATCATCATGCGAATAAACTAGTCAATGATGACGGCTGTTGTATATATATATATATGCATACTAGGTGCCTAGAGAGAGAGAGAGAACGAATAGAATAAATAATGGCAGTAACAGCAGCTACCCATACGGATGTAGTAGAAAAGGGGGAAAAGAAATGTGTATGCATTTATAATACAAGCTGTTAAGATATATATATAGTCGATCGAACTTTGAACAAACTAAAAGTACATAATATATCAATGTTATATATTCAATGTAATATTTAATTGTCTTTTTATATTTTATTTAGTAAAACAATGTTAAAACTTAAACCAATCGAAATTGATAGCAATCATGTTGTTATTAATACAAATACAATAACAACATCAGTAATACCACAATCAAATCCAGTAAAACGATCACGAAAATCAGCACATCCATCAAAAACTATTCAAACATCAATTGATGCATCTTTTTTAAATCAATTAACAAAAACGAGATCAAATATTCAAATTGAAGAATCAACAGATGATGAATTATTAAATTTATCACAAATTAATAATATTGATGAACAAGAAAATAATGATGATGATGGTAATATAAGTGATGAAGAAACTACTTCTATTAGATATGAAAATCTAACATCAAAACGACCACGTTTAACTTATGATAAACGTTTAGAAGCAAATGCACGTGAACGTGAACGTGTTCATAATTTAACAGCTGCATTTGAATCATTACGTCAAGTTATACCAATGTATGGTGATCAACCAAAATTAAGTCGTCTATCAATATTACGTATTGCTTGTTCATATGTTCTTGTACTTGGTTCATTAAATGAAATTGATTTTAGTCAAGAACAAAATGCTTATACATTTAATGAATGTTTTCATATATTATCAAGTACAATTTTAAATGAACTTAAAAGAAAAAAAATCAAATAATTATTAGTATTTGAGAATAATATTATATGAGAAATTTTTTGAAAGAAAAAAAAAATGTATTTTATAAAGAACAGATAAAATATTGTTTATATTTACAAAAAAAAATAAATATCGATTTCTACTTCTGATTAATAAATAATATGAAAGACAATTTTTTATTTCAATATTATTAATAAAATAAGATATTCGAAATTTGAGCAGACTTGTTGTTTGTAGTGAAACTTAGGTTAAAATAGCACAAAAACTGTGCATTGGTTATTATGTTCAGAAATAATTTTCGTCAAATTTCGGTTCTTACACTTCCTCACTATTATTTTTCAATACTCTGACCTGTACCTGAGTTGTAACCAGTCCGGGCAGTATGCATTAATTGGAAAATATTTTATAGTTTTACTATTTTTCTCGGAAAAAACTTATTGAGAGTCAGTTTGCTTGCTCTTATCAAAATAATCAAACAATGTTATTTCAAGAACTATCAGTTTTATATTCTTAATGGAAATATATTTCATTTTTTTAAAAAGCACAATCAAAATTGTGTTACTTGAGACAAACTTATATCATAGGTATATATTTTGGTAAAAATCAAATTTAGGTTTGAACCATCATTCGAAGAGCAACATTAGGTTTGCTTCAAAAAAGCTGAGTGGGCAAATTTAAGATTTGGATGTCAGCGATCAGTTAATGGATAAATGACTCTTTTCTCGCGCGTTATATTGAAATATCGCGTATTCATCTTTGAGAAACCTGACACATATAAATAACTATAACATAATATTTCTGCCTAGAGATTTGTAAAAACCTGAGTGCTAAAAGGAAAATGAATGTTTTTGAAAACACTTCCATTAACCGATTAATACTAATCCAATAAAGCGGTAGGGTTCAAAAATTATCGACCGATTATAACTCTGACTTGTGCCTCCTCTAACAAGAGAAGTCCTCCTTTCGAATTTCAACTTGAAACTTTGCATGGAGACGAGCCTTAACAAGAGTAGTTTTTTGTGAAAGCTCAAGTCTTTTGGCTTACTTCTGTCTTAAAATAAAAACATCAAATCCCACGATTTATATGAGTGATGTAAAAGACATGCGTTTTACCATAGTTGAATCTTAGGATAGGAACAGCGAAAGCAAAAAATACTTATTGTTAAAACCTGTCTCTATGCAAAATTCTAAGTCGAAATTCGAAAATCAATTTTTCTGTTACCACAGCATTTGTTAAACAATCCTGTAAAAGTGCACCAGTCTCTTCACCAGTAATAATCTAAGTGCAGGAACTCTTTTCAAGATATTCATAGCTCAGCGATTTATCATTTGAAGGACTTTTCTCGTTCGAGGAAGTACAGGTCAGAGCATTCGAAAATAATAGGAAGAGGATTTTAAGGACCGAAATTATTTTTGAGTATATTAATCGATGGAAATTTTTCTGATGGTCAAAATCTTTGAATACAAATCTGCATTTATGGCGTTTTGCTATTATATTAAAAAAATTGATTGTCTCAGCAATCAAACAATATTTGTCAAAAACTATATAACGAGTAAAATAAGAAAAATTTCGATAAATAATTAAGGCTTGATACTTTTGGCATATAAGCGACCTCTCTTGAATTTTCTTTTCCATGATTCGTTATAATCCGAATTTCTTTGTTTAATCTCAATAAATCTTTCGTTTGAATTAATATATCAATCTTTCTTTTGTCAAATCTTCAATATGATGAATACAATAATAGATAAATTTAATACTGAATGTACTGATTATTTAAATTCAGAATTAAATACTCGTTTACTTGCAACGTCATCAATATCAATTGATAAAACAACATCAGAATATTATTTAAATGAATATAAACAATGTTTAGATGAACAAATGAATTTTATCAATTATATTAATGAACAAAAGGAAACATTAAATTCTTTAAAATTATGTGAAATTGCTATTGATAGATTTCTTGAACGTTTAAAAGCTATACATGAATATGAATTAAAACAAAATGAAATATTTGAACAAATTTTACATGAATTAACAAAAATAGTAAAACGAATAATTTTTTTATTTATGTTATAAAATATGTTTTTTTTCCTCTTTGTATAGAATCCTTCAAGTAAAGAAGAACGTCAACGACTTCTTGAACAAATTGATGAACTTATTGCTTATAAAACTAAATTAACAAATGTTGATGGTAATGATAAAACAACAACGAATAAATTGCCAACAAATTCAAGTGATACATTCAAAAATATTTTGTAAATGCTTATTTATATATATATATATTGTGCGAGAAAAATACATAATGACTATAGTTAGATCATAGTTTTTATTGAAATAATAATACAAAAAAAAAGAATACAAGCATCTTTGTTTTCTATTATAATAAATCAATAATCTATCTACAGATGATGATGACCAGTGGTTACATATGTGCTGTCAGATAATATTGATATAAATCATTCGGATTAATATAAGTATTTACAGATAACAATATCGAAAATGTTTCATCAATTTCTAATGTACAAGAACCAATAAAAGATTTTTAACAAATGTACTTTAGATAAAATTTGAACAATTTGAATTTTCAAACGGTACATATTGAGTTTATAATTACATACATTCATACAATCAAGTGCTTTACTAAAAGCAGAGCATAATGAAAAAAAACCAAGAGAAAACTAATCGTAGCGATTGTGTCGATACCCGGATATAAATATATATATATGTACGCATTACAATCTAATTTAAAAAATTGACTGAATTGGATTTAACAGCTGATTGCACTTGCTATTGTAAAGGCAAATGTGTTACAAAACAAGACAATTGTACAAATATGCGTGAATAGATTAAAATGTTTTTGTCTTGTAAATTGTACATTGGAATGAAAAGATGTTGTTACTCTATTTAGATTCTAATTGTTTTGATGCATGAATTTATTTCTAGTTGAATTTCGAATTTGCCTATAATATATAAATGTTAGTGTTCAAACTGGAATTACGTCCAAAATTGAACGCGTTCAATATCTGATTGAAGAAAAATTGATGTTAAGACTCAAATTAATAGTCTGTAGGTTTCGATTCGTAGCTTTTTAAATCGATTTCAGTTTTGGTTACGTTTAAAATTTTGAAAAAATCCGAACTGATCCTATCTCTCGTGAGAGGGTGCAATGGCATTTCAACTAATACAATTATTAGTTTATCAATTAATTCTGAATCTATGATGTTATGAATTATTTTATACACAAAAACTACTTCAATAGAAAAGTGACTATAAATACTTGAGTCTGTACTTAACTTATCCATTGATGATTATATTCATCGAAATGCTATTGCTTCCTATTAGTTCGTTAACAAGCATCTGAATGCAATATAAATCTACAGACTAATATCCGCAACAGAGTTAAAGAGTAAGTGTAATCTCAATAACAGGATATAAGACAAAATTATTTTAAAATCTATCATCTTTGCATAAAACTCAACTGTATTCTGTTTCAAGAAATTAGAGAATTTGACTAGGTATCTACACAATTTTATTTACTCAACATTGAGTTGTGAGAAGATAATATCATGCATCTTTTTGAATGTATTACTAAGATGATAGATTTTTAAATAGTTTTGTCTTATACAGTATTAACCAAAAACATGCCCGAAGTTCTTCTTTTTCGATTACTGAAAACCACAGGTCACTAGCTATTGTCGTTGTCCAGTTATTGATAGTTACATCCACCTCTCTTTAATTCTGGTGTGGACATTAGTTTTCCTCTCAATCCAAGATTGGACGCTAACATATATATATCGCAAAAAAAACGATTTTGGATCAGGTGCATTCAAATCACATGAAATTTCTGGGACATATTGAAGCTATGATAAAATTTTCAGCCGTATATAATGATGTTTTCGGGAGATATTGAACAAACAAGGTTCACAAATAGCTCATTGGACAACTCAAAATTCCCTGTGAGCTCTTATTCTATATATCTAATTTTTTTTTTATTTGAAATAGAATGTCAAACTGCAGCAGCCACACCCATCTTGAAAAATAGTCATCAATTTATAGAAGTATTTCATCATGTAAGAATAATAGAAAAAAAAGCTTAATTCAAAACTTAGGCATTGCAATTTCACATGCTCATTCAAACAAAGGAAGAAATAATCGGTTAGAATAAAGTTCCGTCGAGAGTTCTGAGAAAGCATAAATAAAAAGAAAACAAAAAAAGATTTCCGTTTTTTTTTTGCTGAAAAATAATGCATATTTTCAAGCAGAAGATGACGGAAGTCATCAGAAACCGAAGTGTCATATAAATAAAATCATGTCGTTTATGAAAGATCAGATCTAGGGACTATCATCTCATAAACAATTATTTATATCTTTTCCCTACAGTAAAATAGAAAACTTATATAATCTATTTTTTAGACATAGTATTTCATACATCATATTGGTGTGCAATTTTAAGTCTAATTATAAAGCATATCTCTCATAATAAACGATCATTAGTTGAATATCCTGAAGATCTCATTATTACATTACTTCTTTTATATAAGAAAAAAAAACTGGTGTTATTCTGTAAAAGAAGATCTTCTATAATATTTTTTTGCTTCCGGTGATTTATCTTACAAAACAGTCACGTTCACGATAAATAATTGCATATTTAATAGTTTAGTTTATATATATATATTTTTTTTTTGTTATAAATGTGATGTTCGAAAGGTCACATTATTCAATCTAATTTATTTGTGATATTCTATTGAAAATGATCCAATAATCAAGAGATTTTGATATTGTAGCATTATGTTTTTTATTTCTATGTTGTTCTACATTACTATTTAATAAATTTTTCTTTTTCTTTTTTAACATGCTGTCATATCAAATGAAGTCAAATATTTTTCTTCAATTAAGACAAAATACATCCTTCGAAAAAGGAAACAATTAAATTGAATAAATTCATTGACAAATGTTGATTATATAAAATTATGACTGTTGTCAACATATGTTGTTTCATGAAGAGAAAAAAAAACATATCAACTATTGTTAATACATCGATTTTTAAGTTTAGTCATCTATAGCCCCCTGTACCCCAATGAAGTGCTACTATTTTTTATGATATTTTGGGTAAATGTATGCGACAAAAAAACTCTAATCACAGACCCTAATCCACTCTCCATCTGTTTACATGTAGTGGAGTTAGGATTCATACATCATTTTACAGCAATCTCTTATCTGAAGTTTGTAAAAAAAAATAGTCACTTTAAAATAACTGAGAAATTGTTCTTCTTATTAAGAATGTCTGCTGAAAATTTTAATAGAAACTTCCTATGACACGACGAGTCTGTTTGAAAAGTTTTAGAGCCACAACACTAAATAAAATCGAGTTAGCACTACAATATGAATTCATTATCACAGGACGTGTTGATTACTAATACCTTGACTATGTTTAACGAGCTTTGATGAAAATAAAGTCGACATATACGACTGTCTTTAGTGCTAGAAATAGAAAACAGTAGTAACTTGCTATAGAGTAGTACAATGATAAACAAAAATGTTTTTGAGTGCAAATTTCCGTTGAATATATTTTTCACAACGGAAAGAACATGTGTGAATCATAACTCCAATATATATGAACTGATGAAAAGCGTGTTAGTGTTTATGATCAAGGTTTATCATCGCACGCATGCATTCAAAATATTATAAAGAATAGTAGCACTTCATTGAGAAATAGTTACTTTTATTCAGAACTATATGTACGTTATATTTTCTTTTTTTTTGTCGAATATGATCAAAAATATCCTATGTAGATATGCTATTGATTGATTATTATAAATATAGTTCTAACATTACTTATTGTATTTATTAGTACGTGACTTTTTATATATCATCTCAAGTATGTAAAAATGACAGTGTATAGTAAAGAAACGCGATAGTCTATTATCTATCAATTATAGAAAGAATGCTCAATATAGAAATGTATTCTCATTGGAATAGATTGAACTGGTTGCTTCTTCTCAATCAGTGTTTTATTCAGATTGGTTTTTTTTTCTTTAGGATAGACGGTTTAAAACTTCTACAAAAGCAAACACCTATTTTTGGAAGTACACATATATATTACGTGCCAAAATAATTATAAACTCCGGAAGGATTGATTCAATCGTTAAAAGAAGCTCCGCTTTCTCGATTCCCATGCTAAATAAAACATAGACCTGAACTTTGCTCTGTTCAATCTCTGCATATTAACAACATATTCTGTTCTACGTGAGAAAAGAGAAAGAGAATAAGACAAAAAAAAAAAAAAAAAAACTAAAATCGAACCACTATTACTTGAGAGAAACATGTTAGTAGAGCCTTCGTCGTTTACGATGAGAAATAGAAAAAAAATGTTAGTTGCAAGAAACATCCTTCTCTCTCTCTTGCCATCGACATTCAGCTAATAATCAATGACTCAATTTTTCTACATGGCTGCAGTTGATGACAGGAGATGGAAAGGATACTGAGAGTCGGGGGGGAAAGAAACGAAGCTCTCATCAAACATAGACTCTAAGAATAAAAAGAAAATGAGGAAATAAAGCATTGACGAAAGAGAACGTCTCACTATTCAAGAATGCATGATAAAAGCGAGAATAGAAAAAAAGAGATGTTGATGAAGATGACTCGTTGAGTAAGAGAAGAAAAAGGAGAAGTAATATCTATAATTTTTTTTTTAAAGAACGGGGTTCACTATCACTTATCACAATATAAAACATTTTTAGTTAATAAATCACCAAGCAATATAAACAAAAACAAATGTAAGTGTTACTATTTATATATCCAAACAAAAAAAAACAAGAAGTCAATTTTTCGATTCAAATTGATTTTCTTATATAGAATTTCTTTTCATATTATTTATACAATGTTATCAAATATCAACTTTTGGGAATATTTAAGTGCAATTATTTTTTATTTTTTACTTTTAATTAAACCAATATCAAATCAAGGCATAGCATGTTATAAATGTATGACAATTGATGCAAATAATGATTCCTGTCAAGATCCATTTTCATCATTACTTAACCCTATTCATAATAATTGTCAGGTAGATATATTGATTTTCTTTTGAGTACATTTAAAAAAAAAACGTATCTGTAGATAATCCTATCGATGATAGATCAAAAGAATGATATATGGACAAAATTATTCGTTAGTAAAGACTTACATCGAAGTCAACTAAATGTTTCACTAATAAATCAGATTTAATATAAGAGAGTTCTTTTTTTATTCTTTAATATACATTGTACAAACTGATATGTTTTCGAAAGCTGCGCACATGAGAACAAATCGTATGAATATTAAAGAGTAAAATTCATCATTCGAAAAAAGACTTATAGTGTTTAATCTAATATATTGGTAGGCGATTTAAAGAGTTCTGATATAGATATCTATTCGTTAGTGATGTGACACAATAAAATGACATTGACTTTCATTTCGTACATTTTAATTTATAAAAAACTTTGAATTAGAGCAGTATTTTTGAAAATATCTATGCGAAGAGAATTCTTTCTGAAAAATAATCCATGTAAAGAATCAAAGATGAGTATGTTTTGTTTTGTCTGAAATTTGCCTATGATCGAGAAATTAATTATTCTTTTTTAATTAAATTTTATTTAAAGAAAAAAACTTTTCAATATTTGTTTCATGTGTTTAGGCTACATCTGTAGGCAAAGATGGAACATTTTCAGCTCGATTTTGTGTAAAAATCAGTGGTCGTGTTACGAGTATCGATGGTGGTGCGAATGCTTCTTATTTAAATACAATTTTTTATTATCGTACATGTATTGTTGATAATATAATGGAATCAACGAAATCATTAGAAACATCAGGCAGTTTTCGTTTAAAAGGCTTTCAGGATATGTCTGGTTCTATTCGTCTACAAGGTCATATTTCACTTTGTACACATGATGGATGTAATCATGCAAGAACATTATGTTCATCATTATTAATTATTATTCTTGATTTGTTGTTAATTATCTATGTTAGTCGTTTTTCTTAATAAAAGAATATCAATATATAGAGTATGTTAAGATTCATTATAGAATGAATATTGTATTTAATTGAATTTAATAAGAGAATATGATTAGAAATCTCAATGTAAGATCATATTCGATGTTAGAATAGTTGAATTCCTACGTATTATTTTTTATGATAGTTTGCTTGAAAAAAATTAGATGATTATGAACATAGATGAGAGAAATCGATGAAGCAATATGTAATCTGAATTGTCATACTTTCCATATATATATATGGTTCATATATCTTCATGCAAGTAGAGTTTTCATTATCTTTCATTTGAGTTTTTAACAACTTAATCGAGTTGTTAAAGGGCATATAATCTATTTGAGAAACGATCTCTTTTTTATGTGTTTGATCTCCTTTTTTCAATTAGAGACATGCAATAACAATAAATAACTCTTTACTATCGAAGATATAAGAAAAAAAAACAGGTTTTTATTTAAATGCGAAGAAGATACAAAATATTCAACAAGAAGTTTTATATGAATTAATAACATTAATGAAGTTGTCAATAGGTGATCTTTTCATTCGTATTGTATATGACAAGCATGACTTTTCTTATTAAAATTCGTATGAATTGTGAATATCACAGGAAATTCACTAATTGTAGTAGTATCTCAGCTAGAGTAGGAATCATGTCTCGATAAATGTCGGATTGATCTTTCAATAAGATGCAAGTTTATTTTTATTGAAAAATCGGCATCCAAAATTTCATGCATGAATATTGAATTTCATTATTAGTAGAATATGAATTTTTATTTAACAATTCGTTTGATTTCTCAAATATATAATTATTTACATATTGGTGGTAAACTATTAATATATATCTTTTCATAGTGTTAATTTTGTTTTTTATTTCTTGATTTTCTAACAATGATATTAGGTTTCTTATTGGTTTGCATTTTAGTGAACAAGAGTACAACAAAACCAATAACAATACAATTAGAATTTTATGTTAGTGAATCGAAAAAATAACATATCTTATATTCATATATTGATTTGAACACATTTACATGGGGCGCTACAAAAGTTTTTTCGCCCAGCTCTCTTAAAAGACTTAGCCAAGGACTAACTATACCACTGTAATGCCTAGACATATTTAGGGTTATGTGCAAAATTTCAGACTTCGAAGTCTTGTGTTTTGTTGTAGTTTATCATTTCTTTTTGTATCAGTGATGTAGATTACACAATTGCAATTTGTTTATCAGTTTTCCATCTTTTAATAGTTGTATTATATAAACACACTAGATTAAAAGATGCAGCGTGTGAAGCTCTACAATTTACACAAGAGCACTTCTTTTTATAGTTGCACGTTTCGCTTTCAAAATGGACAACATTTTTATTTACCACATTCCAGTCATGCAACAATTATTTTTTTTTCACAGAATACGCTATTATTTTTCTTCTTTCATCTTTTTACCACCTAATATCTTTTTTGTAAATAAAAACAAAATATGTGACAAGACGCAGCATGAAAAGCTGTACAATCTGTATAGCCGATAAAAACATCAAATAAGAAAAAAAGAAATTTCTGGTCCGTGTTATTATTTCGCAACGTCGAAATTTGGTCGCTGAAAACTTTGTTCATTTTGAAAGCAAAACATGCAACTATCAAAAAAGTGATCCTATGCAAATTGTAGAGCTTCACACGCTGTATCACGTGATGTGTTTTGTTTTACTAATACAACTTATTAAAGGATTAAAAATTAATACATAAAACCTGATCATTAAACCCATTGTGTATTATATTGGGAATCACGTATACCTAGTACAAAGGAAGCGATAGACTACAACAAAGCACAAGACTTAGAAGTCTGAGATTTTGCGCATAATCCTAAATATATCTGGATATTATAGCGGTATAGTTAGTTCTTGGCCAAGTCTTTTAAGAGAGCCGAGCGAAAAAACTTTTGTAGTGCCCTATGTATAATCATATTTTAAATTTAAAACGATAGTAAAATAAAAACTCAAACAATATTGAAGACGAGATTCTTTATAAATTAATAGCATCATATTAATTCTTTTGAATTTACTATATATATTATGAATTTTTAACTGTGGATCTAGAAATAATACATCTATAGTGAAAAATATTATCGTTGTAGTTAGTAGCAGTTTTGTCGAAGATTTAATATCGATTTGTAACTTTTTAATACTTTGAAATGAACAAGAATACAATTGATAGATGAATGTTAGTTGCGTATCGTACTACATAAGTGGTGCTTTTCATCCATTATTTATTCAAATGTAAGTCGTAAGATAAGTTGATGCGAATTAAGCGAGATTAATCAGCTTTTCTTTTATTTGCAAAATGTGTTCTAAATATTACAGAGTTCAAAAGAAAAATTCAATGTATACTTTACTATTAGAATTTCTTTACTAAGAATAAAATTATCAACAAGAATGAGTTTGTTTTTAAAGTTCCAATGGTGATGTATTAATTATATTATGTACAATAAGTAATAGAACACTTCATCCTTTATCATAATAATACAAGAATGACTAAAGCTATTAGTAAATATTGAGTACTTGGATCATTCTACTTTCTACAATGAATATGAGAATTGATCATTTATTTTAATATCTTATTCTACTTGTCTTGTATCTTTAATAGGCCCATGGATTGATATCTTATTTGAAGTAACCGTATAAAAACCATAGGGTGCGTTAGTTCTTTAGACTAATCTTTCTTCTAACACCGAAATTATAACAGGAGTACATTGTTTTATTTTATCTCCTTTTCCAATGAGATCTATTCTTAAAACTAATTATGTTGGTTCATAATTTACTAATGATTTGCTTATTATAGGTTGCAAACTAACATTTGTCAATCGATCTAGGGCTCTTCAGATAATTCCCGCAGCATTATCCATTCTTTTATCTTAAAAATAGAAAATAAAAAAGATTCGTTCATTCTCATTCAGATAATCATGTCATAAATAGACATTATTATAAAAACTAGTTTTTAACAGTTGATGCTTGTAATTAATAGTAAGGCTGTCAGATTAGCATCTATATTAAGAAATTCTAATCCTTGAAAGAATTAGTATTAAATTAAGAGGGGCCCCCCTCAGAAAATCCAATTTTTCGGAGACGAGTCGAAATTGAAGTTTTATCATGAGAAGATGCACCGAGGTCTCCTCTTTCAGAATATCTATGGTTTATCAAAAAATGAATTGATTTTGACGAACTTATCGTCTAAAACTTGGCTCCTACTGTCATATTTTACGAGAAATTTTCACGTTTTTTTTAAAGCTTTTTCGAATTTTTAGGCTGCTTTCTCTTTGCATCAGTATTTCGTAAAGTTTTTTTTCTATACTAATCACTAAGATACTATGAATACTTAATATTAAGATCACAAATTTATAGCCTGTCTTGAACATTAATATATAAATCAGGTGATATTGGGAAAAATCGATTTCTAATACTTATTTTTCCTTTTTCTCAAAATCAATTTTTTCGAGCATACCGTTTACGCGGGCAAGGATTTTTCAATAACGACTCAATAGATAAGGAATAATTTTTTTTGTTGAATAGAGGACAGTTAGGGCTAGGTCGTAATAGAGTCCGATTTTTGAATTTCTCTTTCACTGAAATAAAAAGCTTAGATATTTCATTTTTGTTAACAATTTTTTTGGGCACGAATTCGTGAATTTTAAGAAAAAGGTTTTTTAAAAATCAAACATAGGGGAATTCAAAAATCGGGCTCTATTACGATCTAACCTTGAGGGTACTCTACAACCTGAAAACCACCCAAGCTTGTTAGCTCGTATCCTTATTGTGAAATCCTTGCCCACGTAAAGGGTAATGAATTGACTAGAACTTGTGCATTTCTTTGAGATTTGGGAAAAATATTTTAACCATAAGCTATTCTATTTCTGTTCAGCAACACAAGAAAATAATTACAATTATATATGATCTTTGTAAAATTTTAAGACATATTCGACAGTTCCTTCAATCACAATATTCGATGATTAATCTCGTGGAAATGGGTAAGACCGACTGGATTCTGACAACTGAATTTTACAAAATCCGTCCTTCGAATTTCATCGAAATTCGATAATCGGAATATGCCGGACATTGTGGGAATCGATTGAGATCCGATCGGAATTTATCGAAATGAGACAGATTCGACAGAATTCGATGGTGCACTTTTGACCTGGGAATGAATAATAATAAGCATAAGCGACTTTAAACACTAGTCATTGCAGTGTAGGTACAAACGAAATGATCTAATAATCTATATTCAACGTAGTGAGGGTAATGAAACACAAAGGTACAATTTATTGCTTTCATTTCACAGTGAATAGGAGTAAAAACAATGGTAAAATCATGATTTTTTCAATGTATTTAGTTTTTCAATTAATTCAAACATGCGGTTAAAGATTATTAATATTCAGTATTATTATGTGAAGTTGATGTGTACAGATTTAATTGTTCGTTTACCAAAAAACATTAATAATGTGGGATTGGTGATGTCTTTGCTCTATTAGTGCTCGTTTTCCTAACAACAATTAAGTGGGGTAACCACTTTTCGTCCTTGTTTTTTTTTACGGACATCGGTCA